CTATGTACCAAGATGCACTATCCGTATAGGACTGTATTATTTGTAATATGTATGTATTCTGATTTACCTATATAAGTATCTGCAAAACTAAGGGTTATGATGGCCTACTGTTCGTCAACTGGCTTGTGAAGCAGACCCTTCCAACTATGGCTTTCTGACTTATCATCCTCTTCTTCCATGCTGCCTCGATCGGTGGCTGAGAGCCCTTTAGGTGACCCTCCCGGATGCAGAGGGCTTTGTGGGGAGCCAGATTGTGCAACAATAGCCTTGCATGGATCTTGCGTTAACCGCGAGCAACTCGACACATCAGTCGATGAAGTAGGAAGCTTACGGATATGAAGCCTGTATTTCTGAAATCACATACACATTCTCATCATACCGACCCTAAATTCATTGGAAATAAGACTTAGATCATGTATGGTCAGATGTGAAAGTTATTTATTTTGACACTAACACAAAATGTACTTTTAAAATAAGTTACTTTTTTCACTTTAAAGTAAGAAAAAGTTACATATCTATATAGACATATACCGGGACGGATCCACGAAAAAATTGGACACGGGCTAAAACACAGCAAAAAAAAAAAAATTTACACAAAAAAAATTTTTTTTACTAATTTTTTTCACTTAGGATTGGAGGGAGGGCTGTAGCAGAGGCTGCCTGTCCCTGGATCTGCCCCTAGACATATATAGAAACAAAATTCTCGTGATAACCAGAAACGTGAAGCGGAATGGACTGACTTTGATAGTATACCTGCAAATGGCTTTTCACTTCATCATTGGTCAGGCCATCTACTTTCATGTGTTCTCTAATTTGCTTTGGTGTAGCCACTGGGGAAAACATAAACACACAATTAAAATCTATATAAAAGACAATTTTGATAGAGCTTGCTACTACAAATTACACAAAAACTTCTCAAGAACTGTAAGAGAAGATCAATATATATTTCTTATGAAAATTGATGCCACTCATCCACCATTACATTTAAATTGATTTTAAGATAACAATGAACAGGTGGTCTAAATTAGAAATCTTAAGCTTTGGAATTTCTTGAATTAGTAAAACTTAGGAATACGGAATACTAGGTAGCTTGTTCGGTAGCAACAGTTGGACTACATAAGGGGAAGTCAAAAAACTAAAATCTTATTTACTGTATCGTCCAATTCACTGTTATGCACCAAATATACCTTTAGGATGTGTTTTTTGTTAGGGGATATATTCCCATATCGAATAAAGATATAAATATAAATCAACTTATAAAGGATTACTTTTCTTAATAAGGTTGACCTTTTAAGATGGAACCCCAAATCTTGACATGGTATTAGAGCTCATTAAACTCTAACGAGATTCGATCCGTTTAAGACTCCAAAAGTGAGCATACGGATTTCAAGATTGGTCTGCTCAAACGAGCCACCATCTTGCCGGTGCATGTTAAGGGATAGAATCCCACATCGAATAAAGATATAAATATAGACCAACTTATAAAAGATTATATTACTCCTCTTAATAAGGTTGATCTTTTAAGATGGAACCTCAAATCTTAACATTTTTGATATGTGGGGTTAGTCGAGATAGATAGTTTATTTTTCATTTTAATATTATCATACATTCATTCCACTTCACAAACCATCCATTGACGTGCATACTTCTCGATTTGTTCATAGATTACACTATTTACAAGCTCCAACAGCAGCAGAGGTGCAATCAACTAAATTTCTATGAAACAATTCACTGCACTGCGGTAGGAAAAAGAAACAAATTAAAATCTTAATTATTGTATTGTTCAGTCTAATCTCATATTGCACACCAAACATAACCTTTGAGTACTGAACAGAATCACACAATAAAA